TCCCCCCTGCTTCGGTACCCCGGGTACAATACTAGCAATGTATATACCCGGATACAAGAGTCAGCATTTTACGGTATATGTCCATCAGGAAAATATAGGTTTCGGGAGATAAATTTAACCGGATGCTGATCCAGCTTCTGCTCAATTTTGACGAGCTCGGACAAGCTTGTCCAGACTCTACCATCAGAAAAATAATAAATTTTTTTGCACGTGCATTTTATTCGTAATCATTTCCCTGAATTCCTGTTATGCTTATCCAACTAAAGAAAAAAATCCGAAATTTGTTTGGCCGATCATCTCGTGATTTTTATTTTTTTATCCTCCTCAAAAATAAATTTTTTCGGAGGACATAGTTTATAATTTTCTTATCACTTTTCCGATAGATTACATTACACCTTTTTCCGTTATTAATGAGGCAATCGAATACGACCCTTCAATTCAACGGGAAGAATTAAGAGAAATTGTAACTCGTGCTGTTAATGAGTCAGCGGATACATATTTTGAGGATTCGGAGGCATTGGAAAGATTGAACAGAATTTGTACACAGGTTGGTGGTTTTCTTAAATATTTTTCAATGTCATCTGATGAACGGCGCCTTTCCCATATTGGATTCTCGAATTTGTGAAGGCTTTAGTCAAGGGGAGAGCCTATTAGCCTATTATTGTAGATTCAACTCTATAAGAAATAGAGGTAATCCTGGGCGTCCATTAGTCTGTTAGTACCGGGAGTTCAACACCTGGGGACGCATGAGGTCGCTCTGGCTTTAGTCTTGCAAGTTTTGAAATTCAAATGAAGAAAAATGGGGTGGCATGGATCTGCAGGCCACAGAGAAATTGCAACCCTGTTATAATATTCTGATGACACAAGCTTGTGGTATTAAACTAAATATATACGTATTAGCAAGAAATCTAACATATATATCTTTTTTTTGTGCCAGTTTAATGATGCCTTTGAAGGGGTTCGCAGTGTTAACAATGTACAAGAAGCGAAATTAAAAAATAACCTTAACAAACAAAAAATTGCTGAAAATATAGGTGACTTAAAAATGAAACTTAAAGTAAGTATGATACACTAATTATGCTACTGAGCTATCTTGTGCTAAATATTTACGAAGAAATTCACATTTCAATCATTTTTGAGCGAAGTTCCTCCGATCACGCTTTTGAATTACTCGAGAGGTTGAATAGTTTACCAATAAAAGATTTAAAATGGAATGATTCACTTGCTAGCCAGGTGATAAGCGACGAGTCTAAATTAGTTCAAAACCTGGAAGAGGCGTCAGAAAAATCTTTTATGGAGCCATTTAATAAGATGCAAGTAAGAATACCTCCCAATATTCGAAATATATGTACTAACTTTGTGGAAAGTTTTCATGATGACGATATGGAGGGCTTACCACGAAAGCTTTCTCATGATAATTCTTGGAAGGAAGATGAGGCGACTCTAGCAAATGTTGTAAAAGATATTCTCGGTTCCTTAAATAGTATTTGGATGAACCCGGCTTTTGACGCTGAGTTTGCGAGTGATCAGAGTGAGGGGGCCTATGTAACTGATGTAATAGTTCCTCTCATTCGTGCCACGCTAAACAAGCTACCGATTAAAAAATATGCTTTTCTTAGCAGGTAAGTTCGATAAACTTTATTTTAAATTAGACGAACTAGAATTAGCTAATTTATATTTTTTGTTTAGTGCCGAAAGGCAAAGTTTGGCAAGTGCAGACAGAAGAGGGAGAGGTAAACAACCTGACATAATGTTTTTAGAGATGTGTCGCGAAAAGATATGTGAACTTATGTATATTGAGTGCTCGCGTCTAATATGCACTGATCGTAAGAAAAAAGACGATGAAGTGAAATTATGGCGTGAAATGAACGATGGGATGTGTTATGTTTATAGAAGTTGCAGACCTGTCAGAAATGAATTTGGAATTCTTGGTATACAGGTTGCGGCAGATATGATGCACTTAAATATTCTTATAAAAGATGATGATGACATTCATCGCCTTTTTCACCTCCGCTCAGTAAAAATTCCCGTACGACTATGCAATGAAGATGATGTGTTGCAATTTGTAGAAGCATTGTTGCTTTTACGAAATATTATGATTGTCAACATATCTTTATTATTTCATTCATCGGGAATTAGATCAGAACGTCTCAAGAAACGAAGTTCAAGTTCAAATATTACTGTGACTACTCCAGAACATCCTTCTATGGATGGGGAATAGTTAAGAAATGCAAGTTCTATTTGTATATTTTTTTATCTTCCTTTTATTTTTATATTCTTTATATTAATAAAGCTGGCCCTGGTGGCTGATTTCGCATACATAATCGCGTTTAGTTTTGCATGTGTATTTCGTGAATTCGTTTTATTGTATTGCTATCGATGTCTATTAACTTGCGTATGATCGAGAATTTTTTGGTAAAGTGATAGCGAGA